TCTCCCGTTTCTCCAGTGGCCGTGTTCCTGGCTTTACCAGATCCACCACTTACCTCCTCACTAAGAATGGGCGCCAGGCACTTGAGAATCACTGGATATTCGGGGACGTGGCACCTGCTTACCTTTCACAATTAGCAAACCAATATCCCGAACTCAGAAAGTGGAAGGAGGTGGAGAAGGGTGGTATGCAAGAGTTACTAACTTGAACACGGTTAATTCTGCCTGCCAACCTGAGAAATAGACTGACCAAGTGACCGTCATTTTTCCTTCAATGGAGGTATCCAATAAGAGGAGCAAAGTGTTCCTCCAGTTCTCTTTTGTGGGGAGAAAGGTTGAAAGGGAAATCCTATTCCTTCCTATAGTAGAAGTCTAAGTGTGAGAGAAGGGGGAGAAGAGTTTCTCCTGATACCAGCCCTGTTCCTTGGCGGTGTTGAATGTCTATTTGGGATCGGTTATAATTAATTCATGGGGACACCAGCCTGCCTGGTTGAGTGATTTTCCCAGAAACATTCAGCCGCATGCTGGATGCTCCAGATATGAATTTTCCCTGATGAGTGTAGCCGTGGGGGAGGAGCTTGGAAATTTAGGTATTTCCAAGAGACCAATAATAGTGATGTCTCACAGAACAACGAAAGAGGTAAAAATAGGAGGGTGTTAATGTAATGGGTAGAGAGTAACAGAGTTACTCAGTAGATTACAAATGTGGATACGGTTTTAAAATTGTCACCGAACGTGGGCTGCAGAGTGTGAGATTTTGATCAAAAGTAGGCCGTAAGGGGCGCCTGGGTGGCTCAGTGGGTTAAGCCTCTGCCTTCGGCTCAGGTCATGTTCCCAGGGTTCTGGGATCGAGCCCCGCATCCGGCTCTCTGCTCAGCGGGGAGCCTCCTACCTCCTCTCTCTCTGCCTGCCTCTCTGCCTACTTGTGATCTCTCTCTCTATCCAATAAATAAATAAAATCTTTAAAAAAAAAAAGTAGGCCGTAAATCCACAGGTTTGGATGTAGTGAATTTCTGATAATGAAAACGAAGTAGATGAGAAAGGAAGAATAGAGGGGGTGGTTCTTTAGAAACGAGGAGAGGAAGTCGAGTAGCCGAGGTGACAGCAGACAACCCATCCAGTGACAGGAGCAGAATGACAGGAATTGAGATGGAAAGCAAAGCAAAACACTAATGTCTTCAGCACCTGGAGAATGACCACGCACTTGGCTGATGACAACAGATGACAGAGCCAGATGGCATATGCCTCAGAGGAACAGAGAAGTTGTGGATTTTTGGGGTTTTTCTTTCTGGTTTTGTTTTGTTCTGTTTTTGTTTGTTTGTTTGTTTGTTTGTTTTTATGACACGGGCTGGAGAGAATTATCTGGAAGTGGCATTGGGGAAGCAGAAACCATCTCTTCCAGATCCTATAGAAAGAGCAACTCAGTCATGCTGCAGGGAAGCCGTGTGATCAGGAAATGAAATTACATACAGCAGGTGTCAGTAAAGGCAAGGAGAAGGGGAAAACATTCTGCCAGGAGACAAGTCTTTGAATATGGGATAGCAGTCACTCATAATGTAGCTTTCAGGTGTATAAGACCCAGTAGGTTTCTTTAATACTCAAAACCAAACTGGGGTGCCAGCCTTGGGGCTCGATCCCGGGACCCTGGGATCATGACCTGAGCCGAAGGCAGACACTCAGCCGACTGAGCCACCTAGGCACCCCAAAAATAAAATCTTAAAAAAAAGATTAGATCTTCCACTTGGGAGGGACAAGGGTCTGCTGAGTACTTGTATCCCTGAAGCTGTCCCCCATGATTCACCTTCCCCATTATACCAGCATTGTGCTGGATTCAGCAGGTGCCATATCCCCTTCCCAGTTTTGCCAGAGGGTATCCTCATAACTCTTAATTTTTCTTGGAACACACCTGAGACCAGATTGGAATCCATTCCTTTTTCTCTCCCTTCCGTCTCTTCTTTCCTTCCTTCCATTTCCCCCTCCCCTAATATTTTTTTCCCTTTCTTTAAATCATCCATTCATTCAGTGAGACTTTCAAAGCCCAGAAGAAAATAGTTAAAGTAACCCACAGCAAGATGTTGTTGCCTACAGAGAACTGCTACTCTCATCAACTCTGCAATTCTTTGTAGGGAGGCCGACCTACATAGTTCTTCTAGGATCTGTACCCTGCTTCTGTATCACTTGTGAGAACTTCTGGAGACCTCACTGTGACCCAAGAGAGCAGGTCCAAAGAAAGATAGTTGCCCCTCATCTCCCTTCTGTAAGACCTGCCTTTCAAGTTCTGGTTTTCGGTCTATAGGCCTGGCTCTTCCTCTTAATAACTGACAGCAGGATTGCCCAGTTGTTTTAGGGGAGACCTGTCCCCCCGGGACAACCATATCTGAATCTGAAACATAACCAGATCAGAATTCTAAACCTAATATCCATGCCCACACATAGAAGCTGAAGATCAAGTTATTATATAGAAAATGACAGGGGTGTCTGTGATCGAGCCCCACACTGGGCTCTCTGCTAGGTGGGGAGCCTGCTTCCCCCTCTCTCTCTGCCTGCTTGTAATCTCAATCTCTGTTAAATAAATAAATAAAAGAAAATCTTTTAAAAAAATGACAGATGTCATATTGAGACCATTTATTCCAACTAATCATTAATAAGGGCTGTTTTATACTGTACATGGTATCTATTTTGCTATAATTTCATGCTATAGAATAACTTGCCAGCTGTATTCCCAATGTGTTTGCAAAATTAAATACAAAGGGCTAGAAAACATGGCATTTCCCACAGTGTAAGACATGCCTCTGCCTAATATAAAAGCAGTTCAGCTGCTTTTGTAGTTTTGTGTTCAACCACAAAAGTATGTCTTTATAAATTAAACTAATGGTAGATTAAATGGGGGGATAAAAGTAATGCAGACTTGGTGATGGGTAAATTAAAGCTTTCGGTCCAGTAATGTAGCCTTAATTATGTTTCTTTTAAGGCCCTACATGCCTGCCTAAATTCACACATATAAAGATAACTAGCAAAACAGTAACAAGTTATCCTTCAATTTTTTTTTTAAGTTCAGCAACTTAAATGAACTACATTTGAAGCCTGCCAAAGTTGGTGGGAGATTTTTTCTTATTGTCAGTGGTTGTGTAGTGCAGTAGTCCTTGAGAATCTCTCTACTAAGAATTCTGAAGAGGGGGCACCTGGATGGCCCAGTCAGTTAAACGTCCCATTCTTGATTTCGGTTGAGGTCGTGATCTCAGGGTTATGAGATCGAGCCCCACGTCAGGGGAGTCTGCTGGGGATTCTCTCCCACTCCTTCTGCCCCTCTCCTGCTCTCTCGCCCACTCTCTCTCTCCAAAGTAAATTAAAAAAAATAAATAAATAAAATCTGGGGCCCCTGGATAGCTCAGCCGGTTGAGTGTCTGCCTTCGGCTCAGGTCATGATCCCAGGCTCTTGGGATCGAGTCCCAAGTTGGGCTCCTTGCTCAGTGGGGAGTCTGCTTCTCCCTCTGCCTCTGCCTGCGGCTCCCCCTGCTTGTACACTCTCTCTGTCAAATAAACAGATAAAATCTTAAAAAAAAAAAAAAAAAGAATCCTGAGGAGAAGCGGGGAAGCAAACGAAAGGGAAAAAAAAAGAGGTGAAGTACTTTCTTCACACTCCCACAACAAATGGTGTTTGGGGTATTGGGTCACTGAACTGAGCTGTGATTTCAGCAGTGAGGGAGTAAGGGTAATGAAGGTACAGAAGAGATGGGAGAGAGTACCGGTTGCCCTGCGGACCCCCCACAAAGATCTTTGGGGGTCAGATGAACTTCATTAAGGATCATCTCAATGTTCAAGATCGTTGACTGCTCAGAAACTGAGACACAGACCATCTTTGCTTCGTAAAACACTTAACACTTTTCCTCCCCATTAAGATTAATCAGTCCAGTATAACAAATATTAAGTGACATCTTTCATTTGCCAGGCAGTATGATTGTTGGATACTTGAGAAAAGATGACCCTCAAGAGCCTTGAGTTGAGTGGGAGACATACCAGCCAATCCAATCAGCACATGGTGAAAATGGATATAATCATAATGGCAATATGCCAGAGGCTCAATGGAGTTAGAAGATTGCCTAAGAGAGGTGGAGAACAGATACCAGGAGCAGGGAAGGCTTCTCATATATATGATTTTTGAACTTGTGCTTGAAGGAGAAATAGGAGTTATCTAGGCAGAAAAGGGTAGAAGACATTCTAGGTGGAAAAAATAACATGTAAAGGCAAGAAATAGAAGAAAGAGTATGGCCTTGCCACCTTGCCTCATGGTTCGATCAGGAAATAAACAGCACATTTGAAGGGTTAACTAAAAGTTTAATGAAGTGGGAAATGACCATGTCTGGAAGTATGGACAAGGTGAAGGATGTCAGCAAAGGATGGGGAGGCATTCGGAGTTAGCAATGACGAAAAGCCATTCACCACCTGGCCAAAAGAGACAGGAAGGAGAGGGATTTCCCGAACCCAGTGGAACCCATTAGAAAGGCGCTTCCCGATGGGAGCCATGACCAGAAACAGGAACACAGCTGCTCCTCAGCCACGGTCTGGCTGAGACAAAGAGAAGAGTGGACACCCAACTTCTTTCCTCTGGTCTCCAGCTGGTGCTTCCATGGGCTGGACCTCACTGCAACTGGGCAGCTTCACCCAATCTTTCTATATCCGTATTTTTAATCCCAGTAATATAATAATGACTCTTAGCAGATGCTTGAACATAAAAATGAATCATTGTAAGTGCAAGATGACAGACGATGTAAGTCCTTTTGTCCGTTTAAGAATAACCACACTTCAAATGTTCTGTCTTTGGATGAAACCAGCTCGCCTGTTAGTTTCAGAGCATTTTTGTCCACTTAAGACACTTCCTGTTTGATTTCTAAGTTCGGGTTAAGTCACATTGAGCTACCTTCACCTTTTATTACGGTGCTACATTGGAAGGGGGGAAGCAGAACGTGTCCTTTGACAACCCGTTTTTCTCCTTATTTTTCCAGATCGATAACACGATCTTACTACCGCAACTCAGTTGGTGGGTTTTTGGTGTTTGACATCACTAACCGACGATCTTTCGAACACGTGAAAGATTGGCTGGAGGAGGCAAAAATGCACGTGCAGCCGTTTCGGATTGTGTTTCTGCTGGTGGGGCACAAGTGTGACTTGGCTTCGCGACGTCAGGTGACGAGGGAAGAAGCCGAAAACCTGTCTGCAAACTGTGGTATGAAGTATATAGAAACCTCCGCCAAAGACGCCACAAATGTCGAGGAATCCTTCACCATCTTGACGAGAGACATTTATGAGCTTATTAAAAGGGGGGAAATTTGTATTCAGGATGGCTGGGAAGGGGTTAAAAGTGGTTTTGTTCCAAATACTGTGCATTCTTCCGAGGAGGCAGTGAAGCCCAGAAAAGAGTGCTTCTGCTGACTTCAGACGGGCCAAAGAACGGCGGTGGAGAGACTGGGGTCATCTCGGGATAAGCACCAACATTAACGGCAGAACGGTCACGAGAAAGATTCCCGCCCGCTTCCACCCTCCTTTGGAAGGTATTTAATTCAGATGGCTATGCTTCCCTGCTACACTACCACACTGGGTATTTTGCTCAGTTATCAGGCAAAGCAGACAACTTTTTCTTGAAACTTGAGCATCTACAGAATTACTCCCATTCCCACTTCGTAAGCGTATAGCTCACTTTAATGTCCACGTATATCCACATTACTCATTTTTCTTGACAATTAGAAATGAGTGTTTTGGGGGTATACAGTCCAACCGGGAAGATTGTATCAGACCTTGTATTCTCATGAGTTAATTTGTTGATATGGAATAGTAAAGTGGATTTCAGCATGCACTGTTGGCTTACAAAGTAAACAATCTCAGACGTGTCATCAGCTGGGACTAAAATAACACTTCCTTGTATAAGGTGCCGCATTTTTAACCATTCTGTGAAATGTTTATCCTCCCTTAATTTGCCTGAACATAACAAAATAAGTTTTAAACTCTTTTTTTTCTCTTATTTACTGCTCCTGATAATCTTATGTTTTATAAAGATATCTAAGGATCCAAGCAGAATATTTTATTGCAAATATTTATAAAAATAAAAACAAAGGACCATTCATCAGCTTATGTTTTAATGTTATAGTATATTGTCCTTGTTTAGATAAGAAAAACAAATTTATTTATGTACAGGCATTTTCAAAGAAAGTAAATGCAACTTGCCGTGAACTATTGTTAAAACTATTGATATAAGTAAATATGGAAGGTTTTTAGAGATCGCTTTGCTGTCCACGTAAGTTTCTGAATTTCCCTATTTCTGGTACAAGATAATTATACGAAATATTTCTGGACAAAGAAGATTGGTTAGATGTTTGATATATTTAGCATTCAAATTGCATTTCAGTAAAATTAAAGATAAAATAATGAGTTAGGGCTGCAAAATGACTTCTGAGTTTTCTAATTTTTAATTTATTGATTAAATTCTCCTCCTGAAGGGACATTGTGATCACAAACTCATATTTTATAACCTACATTTCCATTCTCTTAACCATCCCTCATCACAGAGGGGCACCAAATGCAGCCCCCTTCCTGAAATCATGGTTTTACTGTTAAAATAGTATCTCCATTTGTTTGAAAACCAAACTGATATGATGGAAAGAATATTTAACAAAAAAAAACAGAAAACCTGGGTCCTAAGCTTGCCATTTCTGTACCAGTACTTGGGCATGAGTGAGTCGCTTAACCTCACTGCATGTCAGTGCTCTCCACTGTAAAATGAGGCTAATAAGCCCATTTGTTTTGCTTCATGGGATTATTTTGAGAATCAAGTGCATCGTGTGAATAGCTCCGTAAAGAAAAAGCATTTTGCAAAGATGAGCCTGGTATCAGCTGCTCCTGGGCATACTATTATTATATGTACAACGGTTGAGAATTTTGTTTTCTCATGTTCTTTCCTTTCATCCCCACATTCTGCAGAGGGAGCAGAAGAAGGTGCATGCTTTTGTGGACCTGGGGGGCCTCTCTTGGTTTCGTGTATGCCCTCCGCCCTCTTGCTCTGAAACACCGCTCCTCCACTGTGGAAATAATAGGGAGGGGAAATCCCAGGAGACTTAATTCAATCAGAAGTCATGTTTGAATGTGGGTTTTGTGCATCTTTGAAGTAGGTATTTAATTATATTTTAAATACTTGCACATTTTCTAGGTTTGTGGAAGTATTTCTAGTAGTGCTTATGGAAAGAAAAATATAAATTATAACATCACTGTAATATCGTGAAGAGTTCTATTGTCAACATTTTCTTGATATCCTTGTATTAATTTCACTCGAGGGAGTTCAAACTGCAATTGATCAGATGAGAAGAGCTGTCCCCCAAACGTGAAGTCATCTATTTTCACTGCGACAGTTGTAAATCTCGGAAACTGAGTATCTAGCAGCAATTTAAAGTACAGGGCCCCTGTGCCTACTTGTAAAGCTAAACTATAAAATATGACTTAACTTTCAGTGGATGCCCTTTATAAGACTAACATTAGGGTAAGACTAATAATCAGCCTAGAGGGTACCACAGAGTCAGAAGAAACGAATGGAAATGCAGGGTCCCCCAAAATTGATACTTCACCAAGGTCACACAAAAGCAGAAGCAAGCTAGAACTCTGCCTGGTCAAGGTTCCTTCCATACCCCTGCTGTGTCAGGGGTGTGTGCACGTGTGTCCATGTGTGGCAAAGCAAAGTGAAAATATGATCTAGCTGAATCTACAAAATACTAAAACTGGGCCATAACAATCTGAACTTATAGAAGAGTTGTTTGTGGTGCACCAATACTAAAATGAACAGGAACTACAAAGATTGGAGTTCTTTTTTTTTTTTTTTTTAAGATTTTATTTATTTATTTGACAGGCAGAGATCACAAGTAGTCAGAGAGGCAGGCAGAGACAGAGGAGGAAGCAGGCTCCCTGCTGAGCAGAGACCCCAATGTGGGACTCGATTCCAGGACCCTGGGATCATGACCTGGGCCAGAGGCAGATGCTTTAACCCACTGAGCCACCCAGATGCCCCAAAGATTGGAGTTCTTATGCATACTTGCCAAATGTCTGTATAACCTTAGCCAGATATTTTTTCCATATATATATAGATAGATAGAGATACATAAAATAACTGACCTATTTTCTTACACATTATTATGGAGAAGATGGATAATGATGCCAAAATGATAAAAATAGTTGCTCCAGGCAAAACATTTGGACTGTCTTACAAGTCAGATATACTTGAATCAGATGTACTTGAAATTATTTAATTTAAAATTTACTTAATTTAAATATAAACCTATTTAAATTTAAAATTCAGAACTAATGGATGATGTAGCTAATTACCAAACATTTTAAATAAACATGATAAAGAAGAAGTGAAAAACCCTCTGATCTTACATACACTGGGCCCTGACACTTTGCGTCTTGAGTTGCATTAACCCTTTCAGTGCCTGAGTAAATGGGATGGTTCACTAAATGGTAAGCTTAAGCCAAAACGATTTTGTAAACGGAATCTAAATGTGGCCTTTGTACACCTAAGAGGAGCAATTAAGATTTCTTTGAGAGTTTACACTAGGTTTCCAAAAGCCTCCAAGTCCTCCATGATTTTTTTTAGCGGCAACCAAAGTAGCCTTTATTATTGTTAAAATAACTACCAATCTATTTATCCAACTTTACGGCATCCAGAAACTGAATCTGTGGACTAATAAAATCCTTTTAAGAGTGCTTTTGATTTTATATTGCCTTGGTTCCATCACATACAAAGCTTCCGCTGACTTCAAAGTGTGCACTGTATTTGGATAATTTCCTTAGGTCTGACAGAGTCACAAGGATTTGAAAGCCTGAAGACCCATTGCAGAAGCTAATTCATTTGTTCCCCAGTAACTGCCTGGAGATATTTCATTGGAAATGCACGGGAAAGGTGTAAATCTTTAAGGGCGGGGGGAGAAGAAGAGGAAGAAAGACTACAAAGGCTTTTAAAGTTAGATCCCTTGAATGTTAATATAGAATACATTCCCAACAAGATCTTGCTCTTGGAAATTCCGCAGCTGATAAATAGCCATCTCTATTTCAAAATCTTTCTAAATCCCGGTGTTTTCACCAAACTTTCCTGAGCGACCAATCCTCACCTGATCTTAACTAACACTTTTCTCCTGAACTTGGAGGAACTGCTACATGACTTGGTATTTCCGTAATCCTAATTACCGATGGAAGTAGACAACGTGACTGCTGAGCTGTGACAATCTGTAACAATCATTGCAGACTCTGATTCACTTACTACACATAACGATGGTAGAGAATAAATGAAGAGAAAAGAAAACTTTTGAAGATTATATTTTAAATGAGTGCTCCTTGTTGTTACTCTCTGGAAAATTTTGTCTTTTTTTAAATAGTGCCTAAAACATTGTCTTATCGGTGTGCTCTTTAGTGACTAGTAATCAATGATTATTATGTTGAATAATTCCTATTAAATGTGGATTCCATATACATAGTTTAAATTTCTACATTCCACAGAGAAACAAACTTGTTTGGCTATAATCATCTCTTGCCTGTTTTTTTTTTTAGAATGACAGCCAATGGAAGAAAGACATGGTCTACATTTTTTCGAAGTGTGTTATTAGTGTTATTTGATTTTAAATAATGAATAAAAAGAATGAGAATGAGAACTTGGTTGTCCCAGGACTATTACATTACCCGTCTTTAGTGGTTCTTTCAAAACAGAAGCAAAGATTTAATGTAATTAAATGTGTCTGTGTGTGTGTGTGTGTATTTGCAAATGAAATGCAAATAAGAATGAGATCTGAAATCCCATATATATTACAGTATATATTACAGAATACCCTAGCCGAGTGTGGGCAGAACCCCATAATCAATCATTTATATATATATACAGCAAAACACATTAATAACCTGTCTGTAAATAACCTGTCCTCAATTGAGATCAGACTTTTTTGCTACCAAATGAGTTTTCAAGAGCATTGGAGATTTTCAGAGCTTCTTGGGTTTCAGAATTTCAAAAAAGGATCATGGTCTTTAATTATGCCTTAAAAGATAACACAGAATTTGAGACTTTTCTGTCCTTATTTCATCTTTTTCATACTTCAGACTTGCGCATAGCCAGAGCTCATCAAGTTTTGAGTCGAGCTAATCACACAGAAAAAGATTTCATAGCTTCTGCACAGATAACCAGTTACACGTGTAAAATACTTACCACACTTGGCACGTAGTAAGTACTCAGTAAATGTCACCTTTTATTTTTGTTGTTAGTAGTCTTACAACCACCGAATTGCTGAGAAGCCAGTTTTAATCCCCATGATGCGCCAGAAATTAATTGTTGATAATGGCAGTCGTACAGATCACTGCCAAGGGTCATGACTCTCTGTAATGGTCTGATTCTTAGAATCAGGGGAGAGCACTTTAGCAGGACAAGCAGAAGATGATACAGTTATTGGGGACGGCTGGCTTTCCCCGACAGCATCTCACCCAACGGACAGGT